CCTTCAGGGTCACCTGTGTACTGCCCCTCCCCCCTTCAGTAACCAAAGACACAAGTATCCACCACTGTGTCCCGGGTTTCTTTATTAAAATCAAAGTGATAGGGGATTAAAATCAAGAGCATCGCTGAACTTCACCTTCCCGCCCACCAGCTCCCCAAACTCCTGCCCCCACACCGTTTGTGCTCCCAACTCTACAGTGAGAAGAACTCGGTCCCAGAGGCCTGGGACTCGGCTCTCTCCCTGGCTCCCTGGGAAGGAGGCGGCTCAGCTGGAATGCATGGGGGAGCCCAGAGGGGTGACCGGCACGGCGGGGAAGGCCTCCCCCTCAGGGACCGGGACGGCGGAGTACAGCGCCTCGCCCCCCGCCCGCCTCAGGGCATCCCACCCTCTTGGCTGCTTCCTTCGCTCAGTGCACCACCTCCGTCTATTTACATTGTCTCCTAATGCCCCACCCTGCTGCGCTCTGAGAGCCTCTTCCTGGTTTCGCTTTTTCCCCCATGCTGACGCCGGATAGTAATGATTGTCTCCACACCAGCGTGGAAACTCCTGAGGCCAGGGTTTTTGGTCTGTTTTGTGTAGCCACTGGCTTAGAGAAGGTATAGAATAAATCAGTTGAATTAATCATTGAGGATGCTTCCATATTGCAAAAAAAAAAGACATAAAAACACGGGATAGTTGGCTTTTTTTAAAAAAAATATATTTTATTGATTTTGTACAGAGAGGAAGGGAGAGAGATAGAGAATTAGAAACATCGATGAGAGAGAGTCATCGATCAGCTGCCTCTTGCACACCCCCTACTGGGGATATGCCCGCAACCAAGGTACATGCCCTTGACCGGAATCGAACACGGGACCCTTCAGTCCCTAAGCCGACCGGTTTCGGCGGGATAGTTGGCTTTTTTGGGGAGTTCAATTACCACACACCCAGGTTTCAGGTTCAACACCACCACCAGCTCCTCCCCCTCCCCCTCCTCCCTTCCCCTCCTCCCCTCCCCTGTCGGGAGTCTGGAGCCTGCAGGAGGCAGCGGATATATGTTTCTCCCCACACCCACACCTATCTAACATCAATTAAAGAAGGGGACAGTGAACCTTTTAAATTCACCAGCTATACGCAAAGCACTTTGTCATGCCTCTTAGGGCACCTGTAGCTTTCTGTGGTGTGCGCAGGCCGGGTCCAGCCTGGGACCCACAAGCACCTGGGAGATTGTGTCCAGGATGAGAATTTGCGCTGGTGCCCTTGACTCAGGGGTCGGCAACCTGCGGCTCTTTTGAACCTTTGCTGTGGCCCCCAGCAGGTCAGATAGCAGGGCAGGGTGGGGAGCTGTATCACTTATGTTGCAATGGTTTTGTGGCTCCGAGGTTTTTTTTTTCCTTCGAAAACGGGTCCAAGTGGCTCTTTATGTCTTAAAGGTTGCCGACCCCTGCTAGGCTGTTCCTCCAGCCGGAAGCCTCGTGGGTGGCAGAGCCGGCCAGCAGGGCTCCCCGTGAGCCACCTGCAGCTCTGCGTGTGCTGCTCGGGGTGAATGCGGCTGTGGGTGGGTTGTGTCCGTGCTGGGCGGGCGGCCTGGACGCAGAGGCATTCCTGCAGCCCGGTGGGCGGGGGGCAGTGGTGTGCTGTTCTCACACGTCCTCCCGCCGCAGAACATGCGAGCTCTGCAGAAAGACCTCGAGCAGTTCGCCAAGCTCCTGAAGCAGAAGAGGATCACCCTGGGGTACACCCAGGCCGACGTGGGGCTCACCCTGGGCGTCCTCTTTGGTGGGTCCTCTCCGCATGTTCTGTCCTGTCCCATAGAACACAGGGACCCCCACCCCCACCCCCAAGCAGTCCTGACCTTTGCTACCAAGGGAATGAGGGGCGGGTGCTGGGGCAGGCTGCCCTTGCCCAGGATGAGGGTGCAGAGGGAGGAAGAGATGTTTGGGCCTTGAGCTCCGTCTGGGAAGTGGGTCCTGCTGTGGGACCCTGGGTCTTGGGGTCACCAGGGCCTTTCTTGTTGCCTTATCTTACTTCTCTTTCACCCACCTCCCAGGCAAGGTGTTCAGCCAGACGACCATCTGCCGCTTCGAGGCTCTGCAGCTCAGCTTGAAGAACATGTGTAAGCTGCGGCCCCTGCTGCAGAAGTGGGTGGAGGAAGCTGACAACAATGAGAACCTGCAGGAGGTGAGGAAGGGCGGGTGCCCGGGGCCTGCAGTGACACCCCCCCCTCCACTGCTCCCCCTGGCCTGCAGCCCTCCCTGGGGGGAGGTGATGGCTCAGCGCTGCCGGGCTGGGGCAGCTGCTGTCTAAGCCTGCCCTTGCAGGGTCCTTCTTTCTCATCTTCCGCTCTGGTGACACCTCCACCAATGTCTTTAGCAACTTGCTCTTGAATCAGACCTCGTGGATTCTGGGTTCAAAGTTTGCCCTCCTAGCTCTTTGTCACCCCGTCCTCCCTGCCTAGATATGCAAAGCGGAGACCCTGATGCAGGCCCGAAAGAGAAAGCGGACGAGTATCGAGAACCGAGTGAAGGGCAACCTGGAGAGCATGTTCCTGCAGTGCCCGAAGCCCACCCTGCAGCAGATCAGCCACATCGCCCAGCAGCTCGGGCTGGCGAAGGACGTGAGTGCCCCCACGCTCCCTGCCCCCACCCCTTGGCCCTTCAGCCTCTCTGGGTCTGTTGGGTTTGTGGTAAGTGATCCACCTGGAGTTTATAAACAAGTCAACCCCGCCCCCCAGGTGGTCCGAGTGTGGTTCTGCAACCGGCGCCAGAAGGGCAAACGATCAAGCAGTGACTATTCTCAGCGGGAGGATTTTGAGGCTCCGAGGCCTCCTTTCCCAGGGGGACCGGTATCCTTTCCTGTGGCCCCAGGGCCCCACTTTGGCCCGGGCTATCCAGGCCCTCACTTCACCGCGCTGTACTCCGCCGTCCCGTTCCCTGAGGGGGAGGCCTTCCCCGCCGTGCCGGTCACCCCTCTGGGCTCCCCCATGCATTCCAGCTGAGCCGCCTCCTTCCCAGGGAGCCGGGGAGAGAGCCCGAGTCCCAGGCCTCTGGGACCGAGTTCTTCTCACTGTAGAGTTGGGAGCACAAACGGTGTGGGGGCAGGAGTTTGGGGAGCTGGTGGGCGGGAAGGTGAAGTTCAGCGATGCTCTTGATTTTAATCCCCTATCACTTTGATTTTAATAAAGAAACCCTGGACACAGTGGTGGATACTTGTCTTTGGTTACTGAAGGGGGGAGGGGCAGTACACAGATGACCCTGAAGCCCAAGCGCGGAGCCCGCTGAGTCACACAGTGGCCCTCAGAGGCAGAGCCAGTTCTTAGGAGCTTGAGACAACAGGGTCCCAGGGGATTGGACTTATTTCTGCCACAGATGTGGTCACTCAGACCACTCCCCACTAGGAGCTGCCTTCTGCTTTCCCCACTCTGCTTCGGAAGTCCTCGGTGCATTGTGCTAAGAAGTCCAGTCTTTAGGTCCTTATTTCCTCTGCCCGGAGCCCCGGCTGGAAACTCCTTGGTGCCAGGGCCCCTGAGGTTTCCCTTCATTTGGCCTGTCCTGTCCGAGTGACTCAGCAGACCCTCCGCACGTTGCTGCTACCACATAGGGGTCCTTGCTCCTTCCTCTGGAAACAGGTTGGTAAGCCGTGGTAGGAACGGAAAGGGGTGGACCTGCATCCGCATAAGGCAATGCCCACACGGGCTGAGCTGTCACGGGTCCAGGCAGCGGCTGCTCTAGCGGGTCCTCTGCCCTGGCAGTGCAGGCACGCCTTCACAGGTGGCTTTGTCAGATGGAAGGCAAGACCCCCACGAGGGAAAGATGGCTCACTTTGCACAGTGCTCTGGAGCTGAACCCGCAGTGTCAGGTCCACCTGCACAGGTTCTGCCTTCCACATGGAACCGGCCAAACCCAGTACCTAGCTGTAAGGGCAGTGAACGTTTTCTTTTAAACCAAACCCTTCATTACCTGGGTTTCTTTTTTTCAGGCTCCAAGTTCATCCCATATATTTGCACTTTTTCTTTTTTTAATTTTTTTGTTCTTATTTATGCATTCATTAGTTAATTCTTATATGTGCCCTGACTGGGGATCAAACCCAGATCCTTGGAGTATCAGGAAGATACTCTAATCAACTGAGCTATTCAGTCAGGGCCTATTTGCACTCTTTCTTTCTTTTTTAGATATATTTTATTGATTTTTTTACAGAGAGGAAGAGAGTTAGAAACGTCGATGAGAGAATCATCGATCAGCTGCCTCTTGCACACCCCTTACTGGGGATGTGCCTGCAGCTAAGGTACATGCCCTTGACTGGAATTGAACCGGGGACCTTTCAGTCCGCAGGCTGACGCTCTATCCACTGAGCCAAACCAGTTTTGGCTATTTGCACTTTTTCAATGACCAGGTCTGTATTTATCTACCTTTTCCTCTCATCTCCCCTTCCCCTAAGAATTCACGTTTTCTAAACCTTTCCAAGTACATTCTACCAAGAATTGGAAAGCAATGTGTATCAGATCCATAAAGGAGTAACTTACCTAGCAGCAAATTATTAATATTTTCATTCTTTATTTGGAAATGGAAACAAACCTCTGAAAAGCCAGGCCACAGGCTACAAACATGGTCTGCCGTAGGATTAGAGTTTGGGAATTGTGCCCTAGGTTTTCCCAGAATGCCTTAGGTGGCGCCATCCAAGTTGGGAACTCACTTGTCTGGGGCTTGATCATCAGGCACAGGTGGTCTCTGAAGTTGATGATCAGACACTGAGGGTGAGACCTTTCCCGCTGTGCCCGTCACCACTCTGGGCTCTAGTGTCCATGAAGTAAGGATCTATGACTTGTAACGGAATTTACAGCTCCTGGCAATTCCTGAAGGCATTGTCTTTGGCAGGAAGCCATCTCTGTCCCCTTGGCCTGGGATCCATAGCAACAGGCCCTGCTCTGTAGTCATTCCCTCCTGGGGAGGCAAGAGAAGAAGCATCTCTTAGGACCCACTGTGTCCACCCATGGCCAGCTCTATCTGGCTCCTTGGTGGCGGGCCTTAGGTCTGGACGCCCATGTGACACCTTGGGCACCGGAAGTCAGCCTCCCTGGCAGCCTGGATACTGCAGCCAGCACAGGCCACATGGAACCAGAGGTCACATCCATCACACTGAACCCAGGCCACCGTTTCTTCTTGGGACAGGCAGCAACAAGGGGCTGCACAGGGCTCCCCGCCCCCAACCACAGGAGGAGTCACGGGGGTGCTCACGGGGTGCTTTGGAGGATGCCCACGCTGATTTCTGAAGAAAAACAAACACCTGGTCACCGAGAACCTGTAGGAGAAGCCTAGAACTTTTCCTTGTGAAAATAGTGGTCCAGATAGACTCAGTAGTGGTGAGCTTGCTTGCTAGAGCTCGCCTGGTTGCCATTCCAAGCTGTTGTCTACCCACTGCCCACCTCCTCCCCAGCCGGGGCCACCTCCCAACCTGAGGAATGGAAAGGCAGGGGAGTCAGTGATCTAACCACTTACCCACTGGGTGTCGGTGGCGTCTCTACACAGAGTCTCTTCCTGGGCTCTCTAAGGACTGGGGGGCTCTCGGGAGCCTCTCCCTCGTCATCCAATTCTGCCAACACTCGGTGAGCTGATTTCCTTCGGTTTCTTGGGGTCGGGGCAGAAGGGGTGGTCCCCTCTTTCCCAAGGGGAGTGCGGGCAGGCAGGCTCGGTGGCCCACCCCCGCTCCTGGAGAAGGTGAGGGGCTGCGGCTGGAGCTTGCTGAGGCTGCCGATGGAGTTGAGGATCAGCGTGGCTTTTGGTGCAGGGGACAGGGTGCTGAGGGGCCGCTGCGGAGCCCCCTGCGGAGGCAGCATGGGCTGGAAGCCAACCCCGGTTCCCTCTTCTACCCTAGACCGTGGGATGGTAATGGCAGCGAAATCCTGAGGTTTGACTCGGACTTGCTGAAACATGAAGTAGAACTCCGAGGGGCCGGTTTCTGGGGACCTTTCAGGGCCAAAGGTCAGAAGGTCACCATCGCTCAGCTCCAGCCTGTGACCCCTAGGGAGTCGGACATTGTTGACCAAAGTCCCTGTTGATGGTGAGTCACCAGACATACAGGAAATGACAAAAGCAAAGACCAGTTAGGAGTGAAGAAATGGCCCTGACTTTCTGAGCCTCTCGGTAGGTGGCATCAGATCCTAAGCTCTTTCTGAGCTGGCCACAGGACATGGGAGGGAACATTCCATTGAGGTCCAGTGTCAGACATCCTCACCAACCAGCTGCCACTCGGCATAGCTCAGACTGGGTTCCAATCCTGACGCCACCTCTTACCAGCTCTGACCCTGGACAAGTTAACCTCTGTGCCTCATTTCCCTGTATGTAAAGTGGGGATCTTAATGCCCATTTACATTCAATGAATTTAAAACAGTGCCTGGCTTAATAGTAAGCACTAAATGAAGGTGCTACCATAGTTACCCCCACACGCTCCTCAAACGGACTTAACAGTCCTAGGAAAACAGACCCAGAGATGAAGTGACGGCCTGAGGCTGGCTGTGACTACCTCCACGGCAGGGAGTAAGACATGCCCATGTCATTAAAACAGACATCCTAACTGCCTAAGACAGGAACTAGTGTCCCAGCAAGGTGGGAATCTGAGCTCAGCACCCCACCCCCAACCCCGCCCTCCCCGTGGCCACAGAACACCCCACGGATATTTCCCTGATGCTGCCCCAGGCTCTGGAACCACCTCCATCCAGCCCCTGTCTGAGCTAAACCGAGACCAACAAGAGTCAACGTGGATGACTGCCTTGCCCACCATCCATCCATCCTGACAGGGAGGCAGGCAGGGCCCCTGTGGAACCCCTTAATCATTCCATCCCTGTGCTGCTTACTGCTCACCTTGGCTGCTGTGGTCCTCCAAGCTGACCCTCCAGTCATCACCCTGGCGCTCAGCGTGCAACTCTGCATGGACTCCCGAGATGAAGCCGGGCTCCTGTTGGGGCCGCAGGGCCACATCACACAGGTCGGCCCTGCAGCCCAAACGATAGGTGCAGCCAGTTCCGCTTGGGGGGTGGAAAGTGTAGAGGTCGCCGCCCCTGCCGCCCCCAATGCGCAGCAGCTGGAAGCAGGGCAGCATAGGCGGTGCGCTGCACACCTCTCCCACTTCAGGGATCCATGCACGGTGGGCTAGGCTCACTTTCTGTCTGGTGCAAGCTTGAGTTATGCTTTGAGCCAATCCAGAATGCAATGGTCCTAGGCACGCGATGCAAAATGGCTGGCAAGCAGCTCCAAAAGCGGAAAAACTCGGTGCACTGACACCTTGGATGAGCCGATCCTTGGGCCGCAGAATTTCCCGGAAGCCTTCAATCTGTTGGAAGCAACATACCATTAGGCAGCTTCCGGGGAACTGTAAACTGGTGTGCTCCTAATTCTGCAATGCTAACTTGTCACCGCAATGACATTTGGAGAAAATAGCTTTTTCCCGTCAGACCCGCTTATCCAAAGGGAGTAGCCAGCCCTCCAGCTCGCCCGCGCCTCGCTCTTCTGGCCAACCCCTCACTCATAGCTAGTTAGGTTGAAACGCAGTGGGAAGTACTCCTGTCACCCCCAAAAGGCAGAGAAAAAGGGTTCCTACGTTTCCAAGACACTGGACCTAAACCCTATCTGCCCAGCTTTGCGGGGCGGGGGTGGGGTGGAGAGAAACAGCTTCCCGAGACGATGCAAGGCAAACCGAGCCTTCTGCCCACCCCAGCCCAGCTCATGGTCGGACCTACCGCGTGGTACGGTCTCTGCAGGCAGTGCCGGCCGGTGCGGCGTCCGGGACACTCGGGCTCCGGCCCGGCGAGCGCTCCGCAGCTGTTTGACAGCAAGGGCGCGGGGCCCGGAGGGGCGCGGCCTCCGCGCGCGGGCAGCGCGGACCCGCCTTCGGAATTCCCGGGTCCGAACTTGGCTCCCGCAAGCCTTCCTCGTGCCGTTCCTGATTGGCCAGCTTCGGGTCTCCTCCGTTCCATTGGTCAGGGTCAAAAGCAGGTCCCGCCTCAGCCTTTTCTGATTGGTTTACAAGTTTTCCCGGGTCCCCGGAGTTGGGAGGAGCCGCCAGGGCGCGGAGACGGCGGCGCCGGCTTCCGGCCCGGCTTTAGACACTACCGCGCCTGCGTGCACCTCCGTCCCGCCACGGGCCGCTCTGCGCAGGCGCGGTCAGGCTGAGGCCGGCCGGAGCTCGGTCAGGCTCTCGCGCTAAGTGAGGGCCTCGGGAGCGGCGGTTGCGGGAGGGAAGGGGCGGAACGGGGCCTGGAGGGTGGGTCCCGGGGCTGGTCGGGTAGAGGGGAAGGGGCGGGGCCGGAACGGACGAGGTGCAGAACAGCCTTAGCGCTCAGGGTCCAGCGGGGCGAAGGCTCCATGTCCCGGGAGTGGTGGGGCTGAGGGCCCGTGGAGGGCGGGGGGCGGAGCGGGCTGTAGAGGAGCTGAGGCAGCGGGCAATGCCCTCAGGAGGAAAGCAGATTAGAGGGCAGGGCGGGCGGCAGGACTCGCAGATTGGGGGGACAGGGGAATTTGGGTGGGAGGGTGGGAGGCCTTGAGCCTCGGTGCCCAGGCTCTGGCGGGAGCAGGGTGGGCGGCTGGGTGGGCAGCCAACGGGCTAGTGGACAGGAACCGGAAGCTGCTGGGAGGTTTGTGAGATGTCCGGAAGCTGGCTTTTCTGCCTGGGGCTCTAGGCAGCCTGGACCCCGCGGGGTCCTGGGGAGCCTCCTTGCCCGACATGCGGCCACATCCCTCCGGGGCCAGGCCTTGGGCCAGCGCTTTAGCCGGGAAGAACCCGGGGGTCCTGGCTTGGTGTGTGGATGGGCTTCCCCCAGGCCTTGCCGAGCCTTGGAGGGGACTCTGGAGCCTGGGCTCGCAGCCCCTGCACTGCACACCGTTCTCACGCGCGACCAGGAATGGCAGAGTCGGTAGAAACTTGAGGAGGAGGGTAAAGGCGCGCCCGGACCCTGAACGTTTGAGTGAAGCCTGAGGGCTCCCCCTCAGCCTCTCAGTGGAGTCCCTGGCCCTGGCTGTGGCCGTGGTTCTGCCAGGGGCCGGGCTGGGTCCAGCGTGGTCTGTGGGCGTCTCTTCTGGGAAGTAGGAAGAGCTCGGCCGGGCCTGGCTCTGTCTGAGGACGGAGACTTTGTCTCAGGGGCTTTCTCTTTGGAAGCATTGAATTGCAGTGTCCCTGTTTCTCCGCCTGTCCAGGGGAAGGTAGATGGCTGGACACAGAATCTAGAGGCTTCAAATAATGTGGAGATGTTTCGGCCTTCAGGTCAGTGGGACCGGGCAGGGGACCGGTGTTGTCTCTCCCTGGAAACTGACCATCTTTGTCCTTGTGATTCCTCAGGTTCCACGGGGCTCATCCCCCCATCCCACTTCCAAGCTCGGCCCCTTCCAACCCTGCCAAGAATGGCCCCCACCTGGGTCTCAGACATTCCGCTGGCCCATGGAGGTGTCTCAGAGAGGCGGCCAGACATCCAGAGGCCTCAAGGGATCATGTGGGAGCAGGACGTGTCTGGCGATGGGCAGGAGCCGGGGTGGAGGGGCAGGTAGGGGTCCATTGCCACTTCTCAGGCTTGCTTGCCAGTGACCCTTCTTCACTGAAATAGGTTCCTTACCCTAGTCCAGACTTCAGTTCCATAATTTGTTCATTTATCCATAGCAGTTATTGATGTCTACAATCCATAAATAGCAAGAAGAGCATGCTAGAGGCTAGGGGCGGGGATAACAAATAGGAGAAATCCTGGTATCAGTGATTTCCTTAAAATTCCACGGGAGGAGACATTGACTAACAGCTGACCATAATAAGGCAGATGACGAAGTTCAAACTGTGCTAGTATGGGCTCATTCTGGCGGGTAGTGCTGTCGGAGCGGGCGTGCTGTTTGTTGACGTGTTGTCCGTAGAACTGCGTGTTGGTGGTTCCTGTGTGTCTTTCCCTGATAATCCGGCAGGCCGTTGCGCCTTGTGCTCTGGAGTGGGATTGCGGGTGGGTCTCCCTGGGCCCCGCCAGCAGGCAAGGAGCATGATGACCACACAGAGCTGATCAGGACACAGGCTCTCGGTTCCTAGCTTGGCTACCGGCTACGGTCCTGTGGCCATTCACTTAGTTTCTGTAGGGTGTTGTTTCTGCTGAAGTCCTGCCTCAGATCTGGGCCTCAGAAGCTGTGCCAAGAGCCGGATCCCAGGTGCTTTCAGCCAGCGGTTGCCAACCCATGGCCCCTGAGGTCCGAAAGGTTGGCGACCGCTGTTTTAAGCTGTATGGGCACCAGGAGACTTCGCTGAAGGCTGGGACTGCGTAGTTTATTGACGTGCAGTCAATCAACTATTCTCTCTCACTATTGATATTCTATCTCTCCATCTCCCATTCTGAAAACAATGAAAACATTTTATAAAAAGTTAGGTGCCTATACTTTGTATATAAGGATTTCTGATAGCAAGAATGAACCAATCAACGCAACCTTATTCGATGTGACCAATAAGGTACAACTCTTGTGATTTATATATTTATGGTTCAAAACCGAGTGCTCACACCCCACAGCTATTGTGTTAGCTGTTGTCATCTTTTTTACTTGGCAATCTAAGGAAAAAGAGGTCAGTTATTGTATGTTTTAAGAATTGTGGGACACAGTTGATGATCACTGCTAGAGAGCCATGAGCCCAGAATCTAGACCTAATATGCTTAGCAGGGCCTTCGTGAATGGCGATGGTGATGGAAATGCAGAGACTCCTAAGTCCAGCTTCATTCCCCCATCTCCCCACGTGAGCAGAGGGATCTCTTCTGGGGTCACCTTCCCAGCCCCCGAGACAGGTCTCACCTGTGCCACCCTGTCTTTCAGGTCTGTGGAGCAGGGGTCACAGGCCTTGCGCCAGCAGGCAGAGCTGATTTCTCGGCAGCTGCAGGAGCTGCGACGGCTTGAGGAGGAAGTCCGGGTCCTTCGGGAAACCTCGCTACAGCAAAAGATGAAGCTGGAGACCCAGGCCATGGAGCTGGAGGCCCTGGCCCGGGCAGAGAAAGCTGGCCGAGCTGAGGCCGAGGGCCTGCGTGCCGCCCTGGCGGGGGCTGAAGTTGTCCGGAAGAACCTGGAAGAGGGAAGCCAGCGGGAGCTGGAGGAGGTTCAGAGGCTGCACCAGGAGCAGGTGAATGTGGGGATGGGAAGGCCTCACCTTCTCAGTGGGATCTGGGCAGGGCTTCCCTGCAGAGAGCAGGTATGGAAAGAGATGCCCTGGAAAGAGGAGGACCTTGGACCTCAGATGGCTCTTGTTCCCAGAACTCAGCTGACCACCCACCACCTGAAGCCCTCCTTCCCCTCCAGTAGGCAGTAGTCTGTCTGCCTACCTCACTCTGGGTACCCAGTTAATTTGGGAGCACTGGCGGGGTGGGCCCGAGCTGAGCTGGGAAGGAGACTGTTCAGTTGGTAAGCATTATCAGTGCTGCTCTTCCATCCCTGAGACAGGAGCTGGGCCTCTGGTGAACACACCAGCCAGTCCCTGCCCGCCTGGGTGCAGCTGGCGGCCTAAAGGCTGACACGCATTCAACACTGATTTAATCCTAAGTAGTTGCCTGCCGTGGGAGAAGCGCCGTGAAGAAGGACAGGGAAGCCATAGCTGGTGGGAAGCTAGGAAGGTCACCTAATAAGTCTGCATATTAAGAAATGGAACCAGCCAAAACCGGTTTGGCTCAATGGATAGAGCGTTGGCCTTCGGACTGAAAGGTCCCAGGTTCGATTCTGGTCAAGGGCATGTAACTTGGTTGCGGGCACATCCCCAGTAGGGAGTGTGCAAGAGGCAGCTGATGGATGTTTCTCTCTCATCGATGTTTCTAACTCTCCTTTCTCTCTGTTAAAAATCAATAAAATATATTAAAAAAAGAAAAAAGAAAAAAAAGAAATGGAACCGTAAAGATACCGGAAGAAAACCTGGGTGAATTCATGGTAACCTTGAGTGGGGAAGGTTTTTTTTTTTTAACTTTTAAAAATGTATTACTTCATTTAAAAACTCCATTACATAATCACTTTATATAAAATTTAAAAATCAAACTTTATAAAACAAAAGCAGTGAGTGGAAGAGTGGCATCGGTCTGCATCTCTGCGCAGCTTCAGTGTCTGGCTAGCTGA